TTCACAGCTTCCTTATTCACAACAGCCAGGAAATGGGGAGTGGGGGACACAAAACAAAACAACAACCAAAAAGCCAACATAAATGTCCTTCGACAGATAAACGGACAACAAAAGTGTACCACGTAAACACAGTGGAAAACTGTTCAACCGTAACGAAAATGAAATCATGACATTTCCAGGTAAGCAGACGGGACTAGGGAAGATCATATTGAGTGCGCTAACCCAGAACCAGAACGCAAGCCCTGCCCTTCCGAGCATCTGCGCTTCCTGGCTCCGAATCTTCAGATGTGAATGTACAACGTGGAGAAGCCCCAGAAAGCAGGGAAGAAGAAAGAGAGGATAGGTGGGGTCGGGATGGCTGGATACAGGTGGTGTGACGAGGGAAATGAAGGAATGGCGGGGGTGGAGTGTGAGGGAGGGAGGTCAATATGGAAGAAGAAGAAATGAGCAACAACACCGAGGTTGTTTGATAAAGCCTCATGGAATCATTATTTTATATTCACCATATATAGATATGTTTCAGATATATATGTATATATATATATGTGTTAGATAGCTAGATAGATGATGGATAGATATATAGATAGGTATATAGATAATCTGTCTCCTAAAGGAACTTAGATCTCTTGGGCTGACGATACTCCCCACAACTAGGGAAGCAATTAAACATTTTATTTACCTATATAGTTGAGATTGCACAACCCTGCTTTGGGTGAAAAGGGGTCCCAAATTCAAGGCCTGTGGTAGACTACCCCATGTTCACACAAGGACCAGCAGCCGTTTTTAGAAGGTGCCTGGTCCCCACAGGCGTCTGGCTGGCTGCCTCCTGCCGATGCTTCACCAGGCTTCCCTAATGAGAAGCAAGATCGGCGCTTCTCTTCCCAGTTCCAAAGCAAGTCACACACCCGCAGGCTGCGCTGGGTTTCGTTAAAGCACATGCTTGGCACACCCAAACTATCAAGACCCAGTACACTGTCATCACCCCCAAAAGTTCCCTTACACCCTTTCCATCCGTCTCCCACCTCTTACACACTCTCTTGATTGGGGACAGGAGCACAGGCATACGCTCTCGGCCGCTAAATTAAGTCCAGGGCCTGTTAACCTTTTAAAAACCGTGGGTAGGTTTGGGCAAGAAAGACACTTAGGTGCCTGTGGTGGGGATGTGGCCAACATGGTGGTGGTGGTCATTCAGAACCACGTGGGAGGGGGGGCGGAAGACACAGCCTGAGCAGCCCTGCTGAATGGCACACCAACAGATAGTGTGCATTAGGAGGAGTCCCGACGGCCCAGGGCGGCATTCACGCTGGGTGGAGGCATCTCTGTGAAAAGGGGTGCCCTCCCCTCGGGCCCGCTCCTCAGTTCCCCGTTCCTCCACCCTTGACTCCTGCCCTCTGGAAAACCCAGGGCCTTCTCCCCAAAGCTCCTCCGTGGGCGGAGAACTCGAAAGGAAGGGACAGGGCATCTTTGGGCCACCCCAAAATCAAACCCACTCTGTAATGAAGGTTGAGAGGTGGTCACATCCTCCCATCAGCCTGGTCCCCACCTTATTTTTTTCACTGGAGGGGGAGGATTTGATCCTCTCCTTACCCTAGCTGTATCCCAAGACACCCTGGGGAGTTTCCCAGCAATTTAAAGACGCTTTGTTTTGTCCCATGGAGCATAGACTTGGATTTAGGCTGTAGGATCTATCAGTCTATGGAGAGTACACCAGGGCAAAAAGGAAGGTCTTGTCTTAGTTCGCTTTCTTTTGCTTTGATAAACACAAAGGCAACTTATCCAGGAAAGGTTGTGATTGGCTCACAGATTACTGGCCATCATCACGAGAAACCCGAAGCAGAGGCCGCAGAGGGGCACTGCTCACTGGCTGCCTCAGCCTGCTTTCTTACACAGCCCAGCACCACCTGCCTAAGATTGGCGCCACCCAAAGAGGGCTCTGCCCTTGACATTGATTATTAATCAAGAAAATGCCTCATAGTCTGGCCTCCAGGCCAGTCTTCCTCATAGAGGCATTTTCTGAACCGAGGTTCCCTCATCCAAGATGGCACTAGCTTGTGTCAAGTTGACAAAAACAAAACAAAACGAACCAGCGGATGCTAATGTGGAGGAACCGGAAGAGAGTGGAGAAGAGACCTCCAACTACCATGGAGCCTTGGCAGCTGTACGGGGAGGGCAGTGCAGGTTGATATACACTGAAGACATGGGAGAGAGCCTGGGGGAGGTAGGAGGACTAGCTTCTGAGGCTCCATGGAGCCAGGAGCCAGAACCAGCGGCTGTAACAAACACCCCCCAGTCACATTGGCCAGAGCGGTCCCTCATCTGTGTTAGCACCCAGTTCCAGCGGAGGCTCTGCTCCACATGAAGTCTCAGGGACCTAACTTCCTTCTTCAGGGTCACCAAACACCCCTGATCTCCTGGGTGAAGCCAAAAACGGAAGGAGGGAATTGCTCAGAACCAAGCGAGAGTTTTAAGAGAGTCCTTCGGGAGGCGTCTATAACCAGCCAGGTCTGCACACTGTCAGGGAGGACAAAGCCAGGCCTCTCTAGGCCAGGAGGATGAGGCCAGGACTGAGTGGGCACACTGCTGCCGTGGTCAGTGCCTGAGACCAGAAAACATCTGCTTCTACAGATGACCGTGTTTGGCAAATGTCTGGAGACGGTCGGGGAGGGAGAGGCAGGAGGAGGGGCAGGTGGAGCTCTGACCACACAGGAAGGCCAAGGGCTGGTGGGAAGAAGCAGGGGGATGATCTGGAAACCCCAAGATGACCAGACTGGCTGGGTGGGGAAATCTGTCAAGTAGGTTGGTCAAGAATGAGGTTGCAAAGGATTGCTGGGAGCCCACTGGGAATGAGCTCCAGCAGTCCGAGGAATGGCTGGGGGGGGGGGGGGCGGGGCATGACTCAGAGGGTCAGTTAAAATTAGTCCCTGTGGTCCAGAAGCCAAGAGGCACAGTGTGAGAGCAGTGTGGCAGCCAGCGACTGCCTCAGGGGAATCTTGGGCAGGGAGTCCTGTGTGGGAGTGGGGCTCTGTGTCCTCCCAAGAACGGAGTTAAGGCTCTGGGGCCTTTTGGGCAGTGTAACATTGTGAGGTGGCTTCCTGGTCAGCCTGGAGAGGTCCCCTATTTTCTTTACAGCCCCTCCCTCAAGGAAGCACTCTTCTCAAGAGGACCTGGTCACACTAATCCAGGAGGACCCCTCCTTCACCTTTGTGGCTCAGTCCACTGTCACTTTAAACCGGATGATGAGGCAGAAGCTTTAAGCCCTGTACCATATTGCCTTTCCCATCTTCCCCAGCGGCAGAGACAGCTGAGCGCAGAGGTTATAACCGCTCAGTCGGTATAACTCAGTGAGAGTCTCTCTGTCTCCTTCTCCGCCTCCCCCTTCCTCTCATGCATTCAAGGTCTTTAACGTCAGAGGATGGAAAGAAGCGGGATGGATGAGGCAGTTCTGGCACATTCTGCAGGCCCTGGAGTTCTCCAAGTCTCTCCAGAGTCACGCCTTAGGACAGAGGGCAGGGCTGCTTGCAGGGAGGTAGGCGAAGAGAGACAGCATCTGGGCCTGAAGCACTTTTGCCTTCTCTCCCTCCAGCTCCCCTTGCTCCTAACAGCCCCCTCTTCTCCCATCTCTCTCAAAGAAACTGCTGTTGGCTTCCTGACTCACACGAGCGCCAAGATGACCTCATCTCCAGATTTTAGTTGATTTTTTTTTTTTTTTTTTTTTTTTGTATCCTCAGAAAATGTTTCCAAATATGGTTCCATTGTAGGTCACATGGTCTCAGGGCTCAGCTTTGGTGGAGGTGGGGAGTGGGGGGTTGGGGGGAGATTGGTTCATTGTTCAACTGTCTACAGAAGGGAAAATGCATGTTTGGAGCCTAAGGGATTTACTGCATACCTCATGTGGAGCTTCGAGCATCGGGCATTGAGGCAGCCAAGGGAAGCCCTGCCCTGGGGACCGAGGCGAGGCCAGCCTCTGCATTACTGTAGTTCCGGTTCTGGACTCTGAAGGAGCACTCATGGAAAAACCATCTGGAGCCCTGCTGTAGTGATGAGTCCCCTCCCACAATCACTGGAGGGTTTCCCTGTCTGGTGGTTGTGTGGGGGAAGGAGGGGGGATTGGGGCAGCCCCCCCCCACCTCTCATGAACAGAGCACATCACTCCCACACAGTGGGTGGAGGCCATTGCCACGACTGGGCTGGGGGAGGGGAGGGAGTCCCTGCTCTGTCTTCCCTGCCCTCTGGGTTATGTTCTCCCTGGATAGGATCCCTGCTCTCTGGTGAGAAGCCAGGATCAGAGCACAGGACTGAAATGGACAGTTTCTCAGCTTTCCAAGGCTGTGGAGCAGAGGGAATAGGATTCGGCCTGGGAACCCAGGCGGTGGCTGGCTCAGCCTCGGTTGACAGGCACAGAGGGGTTGGGCCTAACCAGACACAGGGCCAAGTAAACCTACTCTTAGCTCTGTGCTCTGTGGTGGTCCTGACTGTCCTAGCACAGGCTTTCCTTCTGGTCCATTTGGGGACTCTCCAGCCCGCTTCCCCTCCACCACCACATTCCACCACCTCAAGGTCATGGTTGGCTTCATGTCCCCTAGAGGCCTCATGCTAATGGCTGAGTGGCCAGCATTTGATGCTCCTGAAGGTAACACCACCTTTAAAATTTATTATTATTATTATTATTATTATTATTATTATTATTATTATTAGTTATGTAGATGTCTGTGTGTATGCATGTCAGTGAAAGGGCCCAAAGAGACAGAGGAGTTGGATCCCAGAGAGCTGGAGTTCCATGCAGTTGTGTCCTTCCTGACCTGGCTGCTGGGAACTGAACTTGGGCCTTTGGAGGCCCAACACATGCTCTTAATAACTAAACACTATCTCCAAGCCCAAAAGATGAACGGGACCTTTAAGAGAGGGACCTAGTGCCAGGAAGTGATGTCATAAAGTCCACACAAGGAAAAGGATTAGAGCTTAATTCTCTTCCCTTGTATTCCTTTGTCATCCTGCCCTGCTGCCCTCTCACCCTTCCTTCCTTTCCTCCTCCCACTCTCCCTCCTGCCCTCTTCCCTCTAGCCCTACTTCCCTTCCTCCTCCCTGGTTGTCCTGAGGGGAACAGTTTCCTCCTGCACTGGTTAGGATGCCTCACTACAGACCCAAGGGGCCAGCAGACCACTAACTGACATCTCCGAAGCCAGGGGCCTACACAAGCCTTTCTGTTCTATAAGACAGGCCCCCTCTGACGCTCTGTTCCTGTGACCGCCCTCACCTGCTCTCCCAGGGAACGGTGCCCTGTCCTACCTGCTTTACCCACAGAGGACAGCTGGTCCAGCTCTGAGCCTGCTTCACACCATATGGAATAATTTCCCCAGCTCACTGCAGAGAGGAAAGAATACAGATGGTATTAGTTTTTAGTGGGAGGTGTGATGAAACGGAGGGAAATTCTCGCAAGAGCCTCCCACTGGGCCAGAGAGATGGCTCAGAGGGTGAAGGCTACCCAGGCCTGAGAGCATATGAGTTCAAACCCTGGGACCTACGTGGTGAAAGGTAAGAGCCCACCCCCGAAAGCTGTCCTCCGACTTCCACTTGAGTGCTGTGATTTGCACGCTGCGCACATGCATACACAAATGAAACAAATAAGTAAATGTTTCTTAAAGAGCATCTTCTCACCTCTCCCAAGGGAGTCAAGTACGAAGCATGCATATATTCAAAAATGTCCCTCACACCTGCATGGAAGTGCCTATGTGGGAGCCTACTCCCAGGGACTGGGTGTGTGCATGTCAGCCTCTACTGTACTCCAGACAATCTGATGTGGACAGGAACCCAGGAAGGGAAGCAAAGTCAGGGAATGCCTGTGGGAGCAACCAGACCTGAAATGCTGTGTTCTTAGGACCGGGTTCGGTGCCCCTAACTCTACTCACAACTACTGCTTTCTGTTTTACTCTGTCCTGGACTCCCAGGGTCCTAAGGCTGCTTCCAGGCAGGGCCTGGAGGGCAGAGACGGAAGCTTTGCCACACTTGGCACAGGGCGATCTCAGACATCTTTAGCACGAAAAGGTCCTTAGTCTCCGAGAGCAGGGAAAGAAAACGGTTTCCTGGAATCCGAGAGTTTCGGGGGGAGAATGCTCCTTGGGCCTATCCTGCTGGGGTGCATGTGTTGATAGCCATGATTACCTGTGTGTACACCGTTGAGACTGCGATAGTCACGGGAAAGGACTCCTGAACAGCCCTGGTCCCACCCTCCTGGGCTTACATCACTAAATACAACATAAATGATATGTGACTAGGTGTTAACGGATGGCAATGGGAAACATCTCTATAGATTCAGTACCACTGCGGTGCTTTCCCAAGCCAAAAGGAAAAAGGATGGTTTGAGACTGTGGTATCATGGAGCCCAGCTACCCTTAACCTCCTCATCCTCTGGGCTCAGCCTCCCGAGTGCTGGGATCGTGGGTAGGCATCTCTGTGCCCATCCAAAACTGTTATTTGTGGTTGGTTGGTTGGTTGGTTGGTTGGTTGATTGCACAGCTTCGGAATCCCTAGATGTGGCAGGCTGACTTGTAGCGTGTGTGGGGGAAGCGCTGTAGCAGAAACTGATGAAGAATACTTTGTATCACTCAGAGAAGTTTCTCCCAACAGCGGATGGCAGATCACCCAAGACCGGCAACTGACCGAAGGGCAGCAAGTGGGTGAGTGGTGGTGTGCTCAGCCATGAATGGGAGATCTGTCTCCCCCCCTCCCCCTCCCCCAGGGTTCAGGTCAGGTTTCCACCAAACGAAGGGGCTAATTTTAAGTATTCAGGTATGTGTGTGTGCCTTTGTGCATGGGCCTGGGCACGTGAGGGCCAGAGGCTGACATGAATATCTCCTTCAGTCACCTTCCGCTTTCTTTTTGAGATGGGCGTCTCCCACAGAAGCTGGGTGACTGACAAGTCTCGGGATCCTCCCGTCTCCCCCTCCCGAGCTGGGGTTGTAGGCGAGGTGGCTTCTTACTGTGGATGCCCAGAATCCAACTCAGGTTGGCACACTTTACCAACTGAGCCTTCTACCCCGTTTTCACCTTTAAAGCAGTTTGCGGCGAAGGATTTCCGGTGTGAGGGATTAGTCCTAATGCTGCTGCCCTCGTGAGGTGGTGACCAGGGTCACACATCTGTGTAGGGTATAGCTGTGTAGCGGGCACACGGGTTCCTCTTGCCCAGAGGGACACACAGACAAGTTTTTCCCAGAGAAACCAGGAATGTTATCCTCCAAGGCTTTTCAGAAGGGGAGTTACACCTATTTCCTAGTCGGTGGAACCCATTCTTGTAGAAGAGGTCACCGGTACTTTGCCAAAGACATGTTCATGGCAAAGGACTTTCGATGTAGTCTTGCCTTAAGCTCTATAGTGATAATTGTCAGGAGAACCCCCCCCCCCGCCCCGCAAGGTTGTAACTATGTCAGAAATAAATTGCTTGGGTCAGACTCTAGAACCAGCACTGGCTGACCAAGTTGTATTCCGATTTTCCTTCTTGCCTCCTCATGTGGGTAGTTACTCTGCTGGCCGGCTGTGGCATTTGCAGAGACAGTCCCCCCTTCCCCCCCCTCCATCCTAGTCACACAATAGTGGGACAAGAGTGGGACACAGTGAGTACAGCCACTGTGAGCCTGTCACATTGGGGGTTATCTGCTGGGTGACCCTGGCGCATGCGTAGGGCCTTCTCACACCGGTTTCCGGTTTGAAGTTATCGGCACTGGTTTGCCTTGCACCTCACAGGCCAAGGGCAGGTTATTCCCGCTTACAGTACTGTGGACGCGGATGCCCCGTGCACTTCCAGGTCCTGGCTCAGCAGTGACCGCTCAGTATGGAGCCTGGCAGGGAAAGGGCAGATGGTGGGTTTGTCTGGCAGGTCTGGGGATGGGATTTGGGATCTGGCACACGAAAGCACTCTCACCCTGAGCCAGGCCCCAGCCCGTCCTCTGACCACAGTGCGTGTGGAGGAAGATAGGAAAGTGAAACATGAAAACAGAAAACTTCTCAGCGAGGCCCATTTTACGGGATATTGACTTCAAAGCTGGGCTGCAGCTTTAGCGTATGCTTTGGGCTTAAGATGTGCCAGTTTCATAATCCTGTTCCTGCCTCCATGGGCCACCCTGCTCCAGCCATTGGCCCAGTTGGCGAATAAAAAATCCACCCTTGCTTCTGTCCCTTTTCAGCCCAGATGCTGGTCACAGCTCTCTCTGCACTGACTGGAGGGCTCCAGGAGAGAGAGGTGAGGGCTGAGGCTGGGGTCATCCTCTCTCTGAGGACAGTGGGCAGGGGAGGGAAAGGGAGGGGAAGGCTGCTCCTGGGACCCTAATTGATAAGGAGACCAGGCACTGGCTGAGGAAAAGGAGCTCTCAGGCTAACAGGGCTCGAAGCCCAGGCAGCTAGGAATGAGACAAGTTGGGCAGGGCCTCACGTTCAGCTCCTTGCATATGAAAACCCACTGGGACCCTCCCGGGCTCAGATGTGCCACTCGTGAGGGGCCACATGGCTGGGCTTTGCCTTCTTAGCTACGCAGAGTTCTTTCCTCCGAGCAGAGCTGAGTTTGTTTTTTATCCTGTGTGTAATTACGAACAGTCCAGAGACAATGGATCCTCAGCAAGGGATTCCCCTAGCTGGCTGTTCCCCAGAGACACTTCTAACAGCCAGCTAGAGTCTGTGAAAGTAACAGGCCCCTGGGTCCTCCCCTCCGGACTGTGCCTGTACTGCCCAGAGTGTCGGTCTTTTGCAGGGAGGACAGACAGAGCGTCTGTCCTGCTGACCACCCTAGCCCCCGGGATCCTGGAGGAGAGCAGGGCCGTAGTGTCAGACATTGACACAGCAGAACCTGCTGACCTACGACATGGTCCGCCAGCCAACCCTTGGCAGAGGTTGCCATTGTGGGTCAAAGTGAAGTAATGAGGTTGGACATTGAAAAATATCCAGAGGGATGGGTGGGGTGGCCTCATCAGCAGAGCACTTGCTAGAGGGTGAGAGGCTGGAGCCAACTCCCAACCGTGTGTGTGTGTGTGTGTGTGTGTGTGTGTGTAGCAGGGGGTGGGTGGGCAGGCAGCATGGCCTAAAGGCCTGTCGAGCGTGCCTGAATGTCCTCCTCGGCCACACTCCTCTGTCTTCTCCTGTGCTGTGACACTGGGCCGCTCACTCTCTGCTTGTCCTCTGCCTTTCTCTCCTGGGGTCCAGCTTTCGCTCTTCTCCCTGGTCTCCGGCCTCCAGCTGGAGGCTCACTCACCCTTTGCCTTCTTCCCATCAGGGGAAAGGCTGATAGTGCCTTGAACTCACCCAGCAGCCAGCCTCCATCACGCCCCACAACACAGGAGCACCCATCAGCCTTTGGAACAGTGCAGGGGTCAGCAGAAAGAACACTTGTTTACACTTCAGGCTTCATGTTGCCCTTGGCTATCACACCCCATGTCCACTGGGGAAATCTAAGGGTTTTCACAGCCCGGTTCAAGCTGTCACCCATTTAATCCAGGCACAGTAATGGCATTCTGCCTGTAAGTCCTTCTGCTTCTTCTTTATAACTTGGAAATGACCATCTCCACACTGACCTGGGTCCCAAGAGCCCTGGAGACCTTTGGATCTGATATCTGGTCTGACAGTGGCGAGGGCCTCCTTCCTGATGACAGAGTTCCTGAGCTCTCCTGATGGTCCCTTTGGGTTTTGTGGAAGCTGCAGTATGAACACGGGAGTGAGTAAGCCTTTTGGCGGAGCCCGTCCCCAGCTCTCTTCCCTCCTGGCAGTAATCACAGTCACTTGTCTCGGCAACTGCTCCCCCATCAAGGGCTTTCAATGATCCATGGTCGAAAGGACTTTGCCATGAGCAGCCCGGAGAGTCTTTTCCTCTCCGTGGCCCTATCACCTGGGCAATGCCAAGGGTCTTAGTTATGAGGAAAAGGATGATGAGTGGATATAGTTCTTGTCACAGCAGGGAAAGACCCTGGAGCTGGCAAGATGGCTCAGCAGGTGAAGGTGCCACCAAGCCAACAACCTGGCTTTGGTCCCCAGGCCCCACGTGCTGAAAGGGGAGAACCAGTTCCTGCAAGCTGTCCCTAACCAAAGTCACAAGTACACGGTGGGACAACCACGCCTCCACGTCCCCGCACACACAAAGCTAAGCTATCAGTGTAAAAATGTGTAGGATAAAAGTCCAAATGCATTTAATTTTATGAAAATGACTGACCTCATTTTCAATTCTACAGTCGTATAAGGGAGTTTGAGTGGAGCGGGCCAGCCGGGTTCAAAGACCTGGAAGGGTGTTTGGCGGGAACAGCACAGGGCGACAGTAACAGCAAAGTTACTGCCTTGCTTCAGCAGCAACCTCAGGCGACCACAAGTTTACTGATTAGTACATGTATATTTACAGAGATGTATATTAATTAAATAATTTTGGTGAAGATTAGGCTGAGGGAACTTTCTTGGAAACTGGCCTGTAGGCAATGGGGCGCCAGCTCTCTCCTGACTTCTCTGAGGGTGACAGACACCTCCCCTTGGTCTGGAACAGCAGCATGGCTCACCTCACTTAGGCTTTTAGTCTGGTGCGTTGGAGTCCAGCACGTGAGCTCAGCCCAGAATGATGGCTTCTCTACGAAACATATGTTACAAAATCAAACAAAATATTTTGTTTGATGTTAATGCGTTCCTGGAAACATAATTTGTACAATGTCTTTATCAGGGTTGCGTTGTTCTGGGAAAATGAATTTTTTTTTAATCATTATTATCAGTTTGTTCTTAAGAGTCAGTGAGAAACAACTCCAACACATCAGTCGAGAAAACAGACAAATGTTTTGTATCATTAAGTGCTACTTAGCAACAGTAATTTTCAAAACTTTGGGTACTGTTGACAGCATTAGCGTATTTCAAAGAGGTCTTTGTGCAGAAGTTAAGAGGGCTGGGGAGAGGCTCAGTCCATAAAGGGCTTTCCGTGAAAGCACGGGGATGGAAGTTCATCCTTCAGAGCACAGTAGGAGGAGCTACGCAGAATGGACTCAGGAGGACGCTGGGGTTCGGTTGGCAGCCAGCCCAGTGCAGCTGGAAGAACTGAAGACCCAGACAGACTCTCTCCCATGAACAATGATAGCGCTCGCGGGACAATACCTGAGGCGTCCTCTGACCTCCACATGCAAATGCACACAGACATGCAGACACACATCCAGCCACACAAACACATAGGCACAAGTATGCACACACATACACATAAAAACAGGAATCAGCAGATTAATCAGTGGTTCTAGGAGTCGGAATGTGGTGACCTCTAGGGTGCGTAGTACTAACAGGAAGGGCTGGGTCTTGACGTGAGTAGTGACAATGTGGGGGGGGCGGTTCCCTGCATTACCTCCGTTTTGCTTTCTAAGGTTTCAGTTATGGAAGCCTAAGAATAATTAAACAGAAAATTCTACAAGTCATTCAGAAGTTTTAAATTGTACAGTGCTGTGAGTTAGTTCCACCTAAGACATGAGCCATTTCTCTGTCCAGTGTTTGCCCTGTGCGTGCTCTCTGCCCGTTAGTCACTTAATACCACATGGTTTATATAGAGCTTGGTTCTGCCCTTGGGCTCAGCATCGCATCAGGATCTGAAGGGGACATGATTATCAGGCTCTCAACTACCTTGCACAAAGATGTAGCCTGATGCCAGAGTGTCATACACACACACAAGATTTCAAGACTGGCTTTCTCTGTGTAGCTCTGGCTGTCCTGGAACTCACTCTGTAGACCAGGCTGGCCTTGAACTCAGAGATCTGCCTGTCTCTGCCTTCTGAGTGCCAAGTGGCATATTTCGGGGTGTCAGATTCTGCTGCCCTCCGCTATAAATATGAACACTATCTTAATTCAAAATTGAAAAGCAGTAGTTTTCAGAATTTATCATTGGTGTGATTTCAATTCTGCATAATCTAAAACCTACACTTGAAATTTATGTTTTATGACATTAGAGGTAAATTTGATTTCTGTGTTCCGATTAGGAGACAATTTGACTCATAAGGCCATGGCTTTGGTGCCAACTGAAATGCCGAATGGTCAGGCAGCAAAGGACTATGAGGCTGATGCTGAGCTGCAAAGGTAACTCAAGGGTGGGTTTTTTGGGAAGGGCCGCTTGTGTGGAAGACAGCACGTGTTCTCTCAATCAGGATCAACTGCTTTTCTTGGTCACTGTTCTATGCTATGAAGAGACATCATGACCAAGGCAACTCTTAAAAGGAAAGCATTTCTTTGGGGGCTTGCAATTTTAGAGGTTAGTCCATTATCATCACGGGGGCATGAATGGCACTGGAGCAGCAGCTGAGAGCTTTACATCCTGACCCGCAGGCAGGCAGGCAGGCAGGCAGGCAGGCAGGGAGAGATAGAGGCCTAGAGAGAACTTCTGAAACCTCAAGCCCACTACCAGTGGCACACTTCCTCCCACAAGGACATGCCCACTCCCACAAGGCCACGCCTCCTAATCCTTCTGATCCTTTCAAACAGTTTTACTTCTTGATGAATAAACATTCAAATAATGAGCCTCTGGGGGCCATTCTCATTCAGACCACCTTATCACTCCAGGATCACTGTGTGGGGAGTGATCTTATCTTCTCAAAAGTCTGCATTATGATGAGGAAGTGTGTTTTCCTTGAGGAGAAAATGGTCCATGAGGCTGACTGTAATATTTTGAAGAGATAAGATTTGGTCAGAGGCAGAGTATTGGGATCCAAGGACAAAAATTGCCCCACTATGATGCTTCTCCACTTTGAGTCCCATAAAGAGTTAAGTCTTCTTGGCTCATAAGTTACATAGTGATATATATGAAATAATTTAATGAAAACATGCCCCTTTCAGTACGTTCATGAGTTCAAGGTCAGTTATCCATTAGTCCACAGCTGGACCGCAGCTTTGCCCTTCCCAAGACTGTCCTCTGTGGAAGCCAAACCCCTCTGACCCCTCCATCCTGTCACATGCTAGCTAAGAAAGAAATGGCTTCCTTGAAGGACCCATCCCACCTGCTGAGGGACTGAATGAAGGTTGCCAAGGAGGATGCACATTAGCTACTATTAATTTCAGCCCTCTCTAAGTGTGGAGCAAAGGAGACATGAAGATGTAGCCACTAAAGCAGTCAAAATGGCCAGAGTGCAGATGTGTTGTTATCCATCTGTCCTCTCCTCCTGCTCCTCACCTCCCCATGCTCAACACCTATCCCTCTCTTTCTCTTCCTTTCCCCAGACTCCTTCCCTCCCTTCCGCCCTGTCTCTCATATACTTTTCTTGGTCAGGACAGTAGCATTTCCCACTGCCCTCCCTCTAGAACAGTGCTCTATTTTCTCAGAGCAGGGCTGGACCATTCTGCCTGATTCATCTTGGAGCAGGAACAAGGTCACCCCAGTGTTCTGCCCATTGTCCCTCCTCTGTGATTCTTCTCCTCATCACACCAGTTGCTTCCTGCAAAGGTGCTCAGGCGTTTTTTAGGGAGAGGCGGAAAGGGTTCAGTTAGGAGTGAAGGCCACCTGGAGGCCGCATGGGCTGGATGAGCATGGGCTGGTCTGGGATGTTGAAGCCGAGTCTGTGTGTGCCTCCCCCGTAGGGATGAGGATGGTGGTCCTCTGGATGGCGATTTGACTGACGAGGAAAAAGTGAAAGTTGACGACGATGCTCTGACAAATGAAGAACGTACATTTTTAGAACAGTTCCACAGCTGGAAAGAGAATGAAAAGAAGTGCATTAGAACACTCTATGCCATCGCAAACTACATTGACAAAAGCCACCAAAAAGCCACCAAGACCAAAGTGGCAGCTACTTCTGCGTCAGTCGTCTCTGGAGCCATGTGTCTCCTGGGTTTGATGCTTGCTCCGACAACTTTGGGGGGAAGCCTGATGCTCACTGCTGCCGGGCAAGGTTTGGGGGCAGTTGCTGGGGTCACCAATATCGTGACCAACGTGAGGGAAAACTCTCGAAATAAAAAAGCCCTGGCCCAGGCCAACAGCATCATACCTACTAATGACCAGGAGTTCAAGGAGGTCAAGGGAGAGAAGACGCCCTATGTCACAGCCACCGGTGAGGTTGTCTACAAATGTGGGAGAGCCTGGGAAATCATCAAAAAGCACATCCGAGCCCTCCGGCTAACCAAAACACAACCGCATGTCACCTCAGCCGCCAAGAAGCTCATGACCTCTGGCCAAGTATCAGCCCGAAGCGGCAGGCAGGTACGAAAGGCCTTTGGGGGCACAGCCCTGGCTATGACCAAAAATACTCTCATGATGGAACGTTTAGCTTCCCTCTACTTCCTTGGCCGGGACATATGTGCTCTCTCAGAGGACTGGAAGGACTTGAAGGCTGGAAGGCCAACAGATCTTGCAAAATTGTTGAGAACGCGAGCTCAGGAGCAGGAGCAGGTGGTAGAAGAAAAAAACCGTTGCTACGAGAAGCTGAAGAAGGTGAGGGCCGGGTTTTGGAAGGGTCTAGGAGACGTAAACTGGGATCTATGGACAGCCATGGGATCTAGAACAGCCATGGTTAAGGAATTCTTTGTGTGTTTGTGCACGTGTGTGCGTGTGTGTGTGTGTGTGTGTGTACACGCTATGTTGTGAACTTTGCAGAGCTGTCTCTCACCACACTTCCATTACAGTGATAAAGACCATAGTCAATAGAGTTTATTTGGTTTATACAGCCCAAGTCACAGTCCAGCTGAGGTAGGAGTTCAGGGTAGGAACCTGGAGGCAGGGACTCGGGCAGAAGCCACGGAGGAATCCTGCTGCTTACTGGCTTGCTCCCACTCTATGCCTTACTCAGACATTCAGGATCAGGCGCTGGTGCCATCCACAGTAAGCTGGACCCTCCCACACCCATCATGGAGTCAAGAAAATGCCTCCATCTCAAGAAAATGCCCCGCTCAGATGCCCCTTGGAGAGGGGGAGGCCTGTCCTCAGCTGGCTTGGCTAGCCCTCTCTTTCTTCTTATGGATTCTGGGTTGGGAAGAGAGCTTCCTGGTTGAATAGATTAGATCTCTGGGTCACAGGGAATGTTTGGACTAACTTCCCTCTCAAACCCTATGTGGGCGCTTTAAGCCTTTGGGGAACAGTCAGGGTTGAATAAGGTTGTAGGGGTATAGAGCCTTACAGGCCTGACATGTACAAAAGAGAAGGGAGCAGCTGGAGAGCCCAACCTGTGCACCCACACAGAGGAAACTATGTGCAGGTTTTCCCTTGTGGGTAACCAGACATCTGCCAGCGGAGGAGAAGTCAGCACCAACAGGAGCTGAATGGGCCAGCACCCCTGAGAAAGGGTACACAGTCCACCTCTCCCCGGGGTGCTGGGTATTGATAAAGGGCGTGTGGTGGGTGTGGTGGTGATGCAGGGTCTGGTGATGGAGGGTCTGGTGGTGGTGGGGGGGTGGTTTGGGGGTGGTGGTGGTAATGTTGGTTTTGGTTTCTGAGACAGACTCTCAGTAGCCCAGGCTGACTTGACATCATAGTCTAGTCTAGTCTAGTCTAGTCTAGTCTAGTCTAGTCTAGTCTA